TCCACTTGATTGGCTCTATGACTCTCTCTCCTCTCCACCTGTAGCTGGTGTGTGGTGAGCGATTGTAATATTTCTATAATATATTATAATATATAATATAAAGTAAATATTTAATATAAAATAATTTTTTAAAAATAGATTTTTAAAGATAGCAAGTGTTAATTTCAAATGCGAGTAAAAATCAGATGTGGCAGGTTACGCTGTCAAATCACTAGAAATAAATAATATTAGGGCAGTTACATAAATTTGAAAAGCTCTAGAATGTTAATATTATATAGCACTTTTTTAATATGAAATTCAGATTTTATCATATATATATATACATATATTAGGGCTGTCAAAGTTAACACATGCGATTAATTTTACAATCCTTAAAGTGTTAAAATAATTTAACGCAATTAACGCAAAATTACTGAAGCACAATTTCTATTCTTACCCTTTAACCCAATTTTGCTTCTCTGCTTACGATCAGATCATTTCAAGCTGCTAAACTCCGGGAAAGTTTTCAGTCCAACGATCCAGTAAGCAAATGTATTTAAACAATTCGTCCAAAACAGCGCTAATATAAAGGAAACCAGGCTGATTACATCAGAGATTGCAGAGAGAATAGAGACTCGTGTTGCATTTTCAGTGAATTATTCATTCCAGTGTGTTTCGCCCAGCTGTGTTTAGTTATACGGAATGGATCCGTGTACTGTAGTAGATATATGCAGTCAGCAGGCGGTTGGTTTAGTTTTTTTGGCATCTCCATGTGGTCCTGTTCGGCATCGCAACTTGACTTCTTAAAAAGCTTGCAGAAAATACAGATTTTTGACAATCGCCTTTCAATATTTTGGTTTACTTTACTGGATATAGCAAATGATGACAAAATAAACATTTGAAACAAGATAAATGGTCTATGCTTAATTTCATGAAGTGTGCAATTAATCGCGATTAATCACAGAAAAAGGGTGTGATTAATTAGATTAAAATTTTTTATCTATTGACAGCCCTAATATATAAATATATATATTTATTATATGAAGCTGTGATGTAGTTAATCTGGTTTATTTCTTGGTTTATTTCTTTTTTGGCTAGTAGACGTTCTGAATGGCCGGTAACTTAATTTAACTTAATTTATTAGCCAAATTGTCTGGTGAGTGAAAAAGTAAATTTTTAAAATTGCTTAAATTGTGATTTTGCTTTTTTAAATGATAGAATACTGGCAATTAGATTATGGTGGGGGTGCAAACGTTTTTCTAGATTGGGGTGTCAAAAAACAAACAAAACAAAACTGAAAATCACTGAATTAAAGCAAAATTCACAAACTTTCTTCCACAAACAAAGTCGATTTATGTAAAGGGTTGGCTGTGATTACCAAAACCACCTCATCTTGCGCTGCAGAAGCTGTTAGCACTGACTAACTCTGATAATAAATCAGTGACTGGAAGGAGAAATCAGCAGGAGATCCATTCGAAAGCTCTTACCGCTCGTTTTCCTTAACCACCTGCTCCAGGCTTGCTTTGACATCTGTCATCTGCCTCTGAGTGTTTGACAGAGAGAAACAAGCATGTGACTGAGAGGTGGGAGGAGCGTGATTGAGAGATAGTGTACTCTTGAATGGCAAACTTATTATAGAACAAGTTCACTTGACTTGGGATTAAACTGCAATTTAAAGCCGACAGCATGAAATCAGCCCCATCAAGCCCTGACAGCAGTAAAACCTCATTGTAATGTGAGCATTTATGTGGTCTAAGTGTTTGTGTAGGGTAGTATAGTGATAGCCTTCATGCATTGTGTACCTGATAGAACTTGAGCCGCATTTCCATTTGTTGTATGTGTCTGTCATATTCTTCAATTAGAGGAGCCATTAGACTGAAAACACACACAGAGGTCAGAAAACAACACCATAATACATTTAAGATTATAGGCTATTAACATTTAGAGTCCTATAAAACTGGATTACTTTACAGTACAATTATAACACTGTAATTACAGTACACCACTTTTGATATATTATAATTTTATGTGTATTACATAATTGTATAAAGTATATTTTATAGGAAGGTAGGTCATAAGTATTTATTTATTTATATATTATATATATATATATATATATATATATATCATGTGTATGTGTATATACATGTATAAACATATATATAGATATAGATATAATTACTCAAATCGTAATCATTTTAATAATACATACTAAAATGAAAACATCACTAAATTTGATATATTTGCTAATTAAATAATATTGGAACAGTGCTTGCCTTTGCAAAAGTTGTCACCACAATAAAAAAAAAGGTCAAAGGTGAGAAAAATAAACAGAACATTCATAACAATGTGTGCACATTTATGCCCCAGTAAGCCTCTATTTAAGTTCAGTACCAATTTGAGCCACTCTTTCAAAATGAGATTATTTACAGCGGCATGGTGTTCATGAAAAGGCCTGAATTTTTTATTTTTTAATTACGAACTGGATGCATGGTTAAAATTAGGGATGCACCGATACCGATACTGGTATCGGTATAGGCCCGATACTGAGCTCATGTACTCATACTCGTTAAAATGCCCCGATACCAAACGCCGATACCACACAGCATGTGATGAGCGCCATATTCAGACAAAGAAACACCGACAACAGAACAACAGACAGCAGAATGGAGTTAAGGATGTCTACTACAGTACTGGAAAAAGTGGTATCGGTGCATCCCTAGTTAAAATAGTAGTGAACTTGAGCTAGAGGTTGTAGTAGTAGGTTTGTAATTGGCTGTAGAGACTCACCCTGTCTGAGAGCCAGGGAGCTGCAGATTCCATGAGCAGATCACCCGTCTATAAAATAAAAAAAAAAGTCTACACACAATATCCCAAGTGTTTCGAGCCTTTATTCAGGGTTTCTGCAGGCTTTATGAAGTTAAATTAAGACTTTTAAGACCTTTTTAATATCAAGTAAAAAAATCTACACAAATTTACATCTTAAGTAAATGCATTTTGATTTAAGGATGTTTAGATATTTTTGATAATGAGATGTTAAAAACAAACAAAAAAAAACCACTGAGGAAAATATTAATTTTTTTTAAAAGTACATTCAACATTTAATACTAAATTAATAATAAAATATGCTTCAATTTAAAACTTTTTAGGGCTTAATTTGCTGAAGGGTGAATTAAGAAATCCTGTTTAATTTAGGAATTGTTCTGTTTATTTATGTATTTATTATTAATACAATTTATTAAAATAAAAAAAGCTATACGAAGCAAGATGAGACAAGACTAGTGGAGAAAACATGAGATGAGACAAGAACAGAAAAGAAGAGGGAAGAAGAGAAGAGACAAAATCAAACAAAATGAGAAGCAAAGAGAATATTCGAAACAAGTTGAAAAATGGAGAAGACAGAAGGAGAATGGAGAAGTTAAAGAGGAGAAGAAATAAATGAGTAGCAGAGAGTCAAGATGAGACCATATAAGAAAAGTGGAGAAGAGACAAGGTGAGACAAGGCTAGATGAGAAGAAATGAGAAAAGCAGCAAAGAAAAGGGTCAAGACGTGATGAAACAAGACAAGAGGAGAAAAGACGAGGTCAGACAAGAAGAGCAGAGTAGAAACAAGAAGAGAAGACACAAGGAAAGGAAAGACAAAGAGAGGAGATTCAAGATAAAACAAGACAGTTAAAGTGTACATATAAACCAAAGAAGAAAACAGAAGAGACAATGTGAGACAGGATAGAAAAGAAGTGCAGAGTCAAGATGATCCAAGAAGAGAGGCACAGAGAGGAAACAAGAAGAGTTGAGGCAAGCAAAGATGTAGAGACAAGGTGAGACAAAGAGAGAAGAGACAAGATAGAGACGCAAAGCAAATAGATAAAACAAATGATGAGGAGAGGATGAGAAAAGAGCAGAAAAGACAAGCTTGAATGAAACTAGAAGCGAAGTCAATTCAGAGAACAATTTAATGTGAAAGTGGCTGAACAGTTTTGAATCAGACCCATTTTTCTTGTTCTTATACCTTCCTCTGTCTTTAAAAAAGATTTTTGTTCCTCAAGTCCTGGGATTAACATTCATAAATGCTGTGATAAGAGCCAGCGGAAAGAGGAAAAAAACTAAATTAAGAAACAGAAAATCATTCAGGAGACAGAGAGAGACTGCATGAGCTCATATACTCACATGCAATAACAGTGAATGATGACTGAAGCTGTTAGTTCTCACATTCTACCTAACATTTCCTTTTGCATTACGCAAAGAAGAAAAAAGTAATACAGACTTGGAACAACATGAGGATGAGAATGATAATAGAATTTGTATTTATGTAGCTATTGAACTTTCTTTTATACTTAAAACATTCATTATGCACCATAGGAGCTTATGTAAATATCTAGAGATGATCGTCTACATCAGGGGTGTCAAACTCAGTTCCTGGAGCACCAGAGCCCTGCTGAGTCCAACACGCATACCATGTCGTTTTCAAATAAGCCTGAAGGACCTGATTAGCTGTATCAGGTGCGTTTAATTAGGGTTGAAGCTAAACTCTGCAAGGCTCCGGCCCTCCAGGAACTGAGTTGAAACCCCTGTTCTACATAATTCAACAGATAAAACTGCCATCTAATCATATAACTGACCTGTGACACTGAGGAGGGAGGAGGAAATTCATCTTGATATCGACCCAGGACGGAGTTCAGACGATTCACTGATAAGACACAAAACAAAGTTCAAGTGCTGATGAATATGCGTGATTGTAAAACCGCGCATGTATCTGCACACCATTATTTCTGTGATCTAGCGGGTTTCACCTTGATCTCGAAGAAAGTCGACTTCTGTTGTAATTTTTGCGTCTGCAACAGCAATAAACGTTGTTAGGTCAAACGTAACCGCAAACCATATGCTTTGCAAAACTGTATCATCAACATAACTATAATAACATTTAGTATGTGGGTCGGCAGGTAGGTTGTACGCAACGGGGAACAATTTGCCTTCTGAAGCAGTCAGTTTAGACTCAGCCAGCACAAATGATCCCTGGAGACTGTCTTTGTGTAGGAATATTGGTTTACCATTGAATTAACTGACTCTGTAGAACCATATCATATATCATGTTGGTCTAATCGAGTAAACGTACATTTAATAAACTAGATTACGAAATAATATATATTTTACAAAGAGATTAAATGGAAAAAGAAGCGAATTTGGTCTGTAATCTCAGCAGCAGCATTAGGCGTCATTGGTATCCAGGTGGAGATTTGGCTAACGGCTACACATATTTCAACATTCGTTATAAACGTGCTGAACACTGTCATATCAACTTACAAACTGCAAATGCTTATTTTTGCCATCGCGTAATATCACGAAGTAGCAGAAACATGTAAATAAATGTAAAGTTCAAAGGATAGGTATTAGGTACCTCCAAATCCTTCCGCCTTGTAGTTTAAAGAGCCTCCCAACCAATCAGATTCATCTTCACGGACGCTCTGATTCAACCTCAGAGCCAATCAGATTCATCCTCAGGGACGCGGTGCAACTTATTCAAATGTTCCCGGGAAACTTCGACCCGCATGCGTTCCGTGCAGTTTATGGAGTTCCTGTTTGTCATGGTTCTTGAATTGAGGAACTATTAAAATGAGGGCCCTCGATGTGATCGAATAAGGTAAGACATTAATTCAATATTTTGTTTAAAAAAATTTTTAAATACCGACTATGTGCCTGACTACTGAAACTTTTGTTGGACGCTTAGTTGATATATGCCACAAATCAGGAAGTGTTCTTCCCACGACATCAGGTGTTATGTTTATGATATCAGATGTATTGCTTATCAATGACTGTTGAACTTTATTTCATATCAGACAGTCCTGTGTCCTGAGCTGCTTAAGATGTATTAGAGCACAGAACTGTGGATATATATTGATACTTGAAAGTTTATATATAAACAGACAAATAAGAAGTATATAATTGTTGATAACTTTTTGTTAAACTCAGCTAGATAGTCATTTATTATTATTTCAGGTCTTGATAGAAGAAAATAAGATTTTACCATGCTTAACAGTGTCTGCGTCGGTTGTATCCTCCTGACTGCCATGGAGTTCCATATCAAACATACCTGGGACAGCTTACCTGTGGATCATGAGCCGGTAAAGATTCGCTTCTCACCTGGCGAGGATGGTTTGTTAATGCAAGTGACTGCTCCTTTCTTTAATGACCCCCCTGCACCAGCCGGATCACCTGGAGAGCCGTTCCCTGGTCTCTGGGACTATGAGGGTATGTTCATCTATACTATAATTGTGGTCAAATTTGTCAATTTTAGTTTATAGATTTGGTTTCTTACTTTCATGTGATTATATAACAAATTAGTGCAATCAACTTATCTTGTTGCATATGCACATGCAGCCTTGATCCTTGGACTATCCATATAATTATCAGATAAGTAAAAGTGATTTAACTTTGATGGAAACTTGAATTCGAATTAGAGGAAAACGTTTATGAAACAGTCGACAGTTTTTTTTTTTTTTCTCTTTGACTAATTTTTCAGTGGTAGAGTCATTTTTCCTGAACAACAACACTGAGCAGTATCTGGAGGTGGAAGTCTGCCCGTAAGTTAAGCTTACAGTGTTTTTCAGACAAGCAGGAAGATTTGTCATTGCTAATGTGTAATTGAAATAATATTTTGAAATTACAGACATGGACAACACCTGATTCTGCTATTGAATGGAAAACATAATGCATTTATGGTAATAAAATACACATTGTACATCAGTTTATTATTGTTTTCAGCTTTTAAAAAATATTTACACTAATGTTCATAAGTTTGGGGTCTTTTTGTGTTTTTGTACAAAGTCTCTTATTCTCTTATTCCAATGCTACATTTATTTGATTAAAAATACAGTAATAGTGTGAAATATTATTATTACTATTATTTAAAAATGACTTTTTATATTTGACTATTACTCCAGTCTTCGATGTCACACGATCCTTCAGAAATCATTCTAATATGTTGATTTGGTTCTCAAGAAACATTTCTTATTATTATCAGTGTGGAAAACAGCTGTGCTTTAATATTTTTGTGAAAACCGTGATGCATTTATAAATGCCTTTACTGTCGACACCTTTGATCAGTTTAAGATGTTCTTGCTGATTAAAAGTCTATAAACATTAAAACATTAAGGAATGCTTAATGCAATGAAATAGTACATGAGGTAGAAAACGTAGAGTGATGTGAAATGTTCTTATGACATTCTTTACCATTAGCTTGTTATTTTGTAATAATTTTTATGCTATAACCTGTTACAGCAACAACTCCCTCTATCATTCAAAGCCAATATAGAGGACAACAAGTGGAAGGGAGAAGCACTTCTACCTTGGAGGTATTTCCCTCAGGGCATTAATAAGATGAATTCCTATGCCATCCATGGCTCTGGAGCAGGAAGGACCTATGAGGCTCTGTATCCTGTTCCTAGAGAAGACCTACAAGAAGGACAGGGACCAGACTTGTAAGTTTAGATATCTCAATATGATTTTATTAGATCTTAACACATACCTGTCAACCCTGCCGTTTTTCCCGGGATTCTCCCGTACTTTACCATTCTATCCCGCTATCATCCCGTTTAAATATTCTGCGTATTTGATATATTTACTACATTCGCCTCTGGTCAAACTCCTGTAATTTGTATGGCCCAAACCTCATTATATGAATAATCATGTCAAGCTGCTTTGTTACTGGGGAAATCGCAATATTTCTGCCATTCCGAAAGCGCCACCTGCTGGCAGAGAACGAATTAGCATTTTTCAATAAGTCCTTTTTTTTTTTCTTTTTTTTTTAGACCATCCTATGCCATCCATGGCTCTGGAGCAGGAAGGACCTATGAGGCTCTGTATCCTGTTCCTAGAGAAGACCTACAAGAAGGACAGGGACCAGACTTGTAAGTTTAGATATCTCAATATGATTTTATTAGATCTTTATTAGGATTTTTTTTTAGACCAAAGCCAAAATCGACCCTTATTTTTACGCAGAAAACATACAGTTGAAAATGTGAATCGGTGGATTGACAAAAAGATAATGAATTATAACAAATCTAAAGATATAGCCTATACTTAGATATATTTATATGTTACCCCACCCCCCACCAGGATATTAACATTTTCTTCTCTCATCTGAACAGCCATCGACTTGAGTATTTTCAAGACTTCACTCTGCAAAGCATCATGGGAGAAGACTGGGTTCAGCCAGAATCTGACCTGTGGGATTTGGCAGGCAAATGACCAACTGAAAATCACAAATGAAGACAAAACTGGCTAATAACCAGCCTTTTTTTATGCAGTAATTACTTGCAATTTGCTTCCATGGCTATGTTAGAGCACAAACTCCACTGCAGTCTAATCAAAGTTAATGATGTGGCTTGTTTTAATGTGGGTGTAATATAATGTGCAATATAATGGCTTTTATTATCACAATTTAATACATCTTTTATCAGAAATGCGGCACTAATCTAAGTATATTCCATCCAGCACCAAATATCTATGCAATATGTAGTAAATGGGAATTTTTAATTTTAGACTGAAATGAAAATAACCATTTAATAATGGAGATGGTAAATGTGGAAATTAAACAAATTATAACATTTCGTTTTTGTTTTTTTTGTCCTGTTTTGGAGCTTGGTAACAGATGTGCTAACACTGTGAAATTAGTTGCATGAAGATTCTTCAGAAATTCTCCTTAGGTTTTCAATAGAAAATTTAGTAAATATAATTATCCAATAACATATGCCTAAACAGGGGCGGATCTAGAAAATAATTCTTAGGGTGGCAAAGGGGTGGCATGGGGTCTATGAGGGGTGGCAACACCAAAGCAAGCCCCCATGCATAGTTTTTGGGGATTTATGGTCTGACATACACAGTTGTGTTCACAAATATTGTATTACCATTAAGTAATCATCTATACTGTTTAAAATAAAAAATAAATAACATTTTAATATCCATCATTGCACCAAGTCAATCGACAACGTAAAAAACTTCAACAGGTTATAAATGTTTCTGAGCTTGTATCACCAAAGAAGACATGCGGTTCTATTAAAATTACATAGGCTACTTAGATGGTATAAATCACGTTTTAGTGCAAGTTTAAGAGCAACAAACACTTTTGAATTTCCTGACATTAGAAAGAAATACAATAATATCAAAGCACTGAAACTCGATCAGTTTTGAAAACAATGTTTGATTTTCTGTTCTTAACAGAGGTGGGAATATCTGTAATCACCCAGAACAAACTCTATCAACCATTTACTCTAACAACACCCCAGCAACTGCATAGCAAGAGCCTAGCAACCACCCAGAATATCCTAGCAACCAACTAGCAACACTTTAGCAAACATCTAGATTCTAGAACATCTAACTGACCAAACCATTTACGTTTTTTTTAAACAAGACTTTAAGACAAGCCAGCATAAATTTGTCTTTCAAACTTTTCAATCTAGTTATTACAGTTTTTCTTACAGGTTTTTGCAACTGCTTACACACATTTTCAAAACTTTGCCTTTTTTTTTCAAAACTTTACACACAAATCCAAGCACACACAAAATGCAAAATGCCTCACATCTCTTGCAAAATGAAGCACTGCATTCAAAATATCACAAACACATCTCAAAAGCAAACATTTGCAAACACCTTTGCCATAATATTAATTCCTGATAGATTTTTGTGTGTTACATAGAGAATTGTGTGTTGTGTTTTGCAAAAAGTGATTTATGAAATTGAAAACGGAGTCAAAGGCTGAGAATTAGTGTATGGTTTTGCAGACTTGGTGTGTGGTTCTGGTGTTTGAGTGTCAGCTTTCAGAAATTGTGTGACAAGTAAAGATTTTGCTTGACACCAGAGCATTCATGTGCAGAATATATACTAGCCTTACTTACTGCAGAGTTTTATTATGTTTCTGGAGCTTTTTTAAAATACTCACACACACAAACAAGCACAACGAAATCACTTCACACTATTAAGCGGCTGTGTTATGAACATGCAAAACTCTATCGCACGCGTGCTACAGTGGTACATTTATTCATCGCACAGACCAGGTTTTTCGTAGCACGTGCGACATATATGTCGCACTGTACAGCCCTGCCGTAACCAAACTCTTACCAGGATTCAGGAATTATTTTTGCAGCTTAATGTCTATTACAGTATACATAAATTAAATTACTGATACAGATGTATAATTCAGCAATGAACTTTTGGGAAAAAATCATTTTCATTTTACTACTGTAAAGTAATCTTGCACTAGAAAAGTTAAAATACCAAAGAATTGTATGAACTTGGCTTGCACCACAATACAGTACAGTAAAAAATCAAATTAAAAAAGTAAATTTAGCATCCACTGCACATTTGGCCAAATGTCATTCCAGTACATATACAGTACTATAGCAGTTTCTTGGTCTCCTGACACAAGACTAGCTATATCTCTAGGCAGTCATTTCTCAGTTCTGCAAAAATGCAGTACACATAAAAAATGGTTACAAATAAAATTTGACAGTCACACGCTTGAAGGTGTACAACATGTGCTACAGTTTACTGTACATATAGAATAGTGAAATTTCCATTATCTAATGTACTGGTATTGGATTGGCTCAGCTCTCTCCTTCTCTCCGTTGTTAGCATGCAGAGATTCTGATGGGTGGTTCTCCTGACCTATTTTCAGGAGAAAATAGGTCTCCTGCCAACCTTGAGTATCTGACAGTAGCTGAAGTAAAACGTATTTCTGTGATCTAAAACCTATTCTATAAACAGCCGAGCTTTAACTCTCTCAACAAACCCATGCGTATAATCAATAGGCGCTCGCGTAAACTACAAATTAGCTGCTAATAAGACGGAACACGGCTTTATAATTACAGCCGCTGTCCGTTAAATGAATATTAACAGTGACTAATTACCGAGCCGCTGCTCTCGCGCTGCTGAACTCCTGACACGATCGCTGACTGGAGCGCGCGCTGCGGGCGTGAGTGAGCTGAATGCGCGCTCGGTAGCTGAGAGCGAAGGTCACGGCTAACGAAAGAAGGGCTTTATTAAAAAGATTTTGAAATTTGTTCTATTTTATACAAAAACATTTTTGATATCATAACTTGTTGGAAAGGGCACACTTTAAAGGGTTCGTGTTACAGTGTTATTAGCTAGCCTACTCAGAGTTTATAGAAACAAACATCATGTAATCTGTTAATATGTAATTAATTTGCTGGTAAATGCACGTTTTTTTAGTTTATTTGTTAATTATGTTAATAATTAATTATGGCATGCATTAAATATATACACTTACATATATAGGCGATATTAATTATCCTATATTATATTAATGTGTGCATTCATAAATGTATTAATTATTTATATGTATTAGCCTATGTATAACATGGAAAAAGATGTTACTCAAGTCCATCTGTAGGGAATGCAGGGAGGCAGGACACATCACTAATATATTTAACATAAATAAATAAATAAATAAAAACAGAACCCAATAGAAAGAATCACATCCAGGCCTGTACTCAAATTACACACAGAGACTCTAATCACATTTGTTCTCTCCACATGTAATCTATTCACTGGGGGAAATAGCAGAGTACAAATTGCTTCTTGTTAGGAGCAGAGCGAAGTCAATCAGATGGTCTTCCACTCATGTTTTTTTAAATCGGGGAGAATTTATGCGCTGACATTTTATAATTGATAGGAGGCCTGTTCAAAACTGAATGGGTAGATGGGCACTGGCATGTTTTCAGACCTATTTCTGCTAGTTGAACAGCGTTAGCCGCAATGGAAATGATTTCATCGAATACACATTAGATACAACCCTGAAGTACGAAGGGAGGGGTGAATATTGTCACTCCCTTTTTTAAAAATGACAAAGAATCATGTTTGTTATTTTAATTCCATTATATCCATAATGGACCTGTTTACCTGTTGCTTTTGCCCCTTCCATCCATTTGTCACAGGCAGGTAATATCTGCACTAAAATATTGATTCCCATCTATTGGAAAACACATTAACAAACAAATATTTTGAACCTGCAATAGTGTCTAGTGGCAGTTAAGTATTTTTTTTCTATCAGAGATAATGTTGATATATTTTTTTTTTCTTTTTTTCATCACTAAAAAATATCAATCATTGCGCTCTGAGCTCCAAAAACGTGTTTCCATGGCAACAAAAGCTTTTCTGGATAAAAGGGGCTGTCAGGGAGAATATTTTCCTTTATAACTCTGTCATAATCATAAACATTAGTACAATACACTCTCTCTCACGCACGCACATCAGTGAAGCCCATTAAAGGCCACTATAAAAGAAGGAGGCCTAAAAGTTAAGGATGATGAAGAACCACACTCGCAAAGCGGAGGTTATTTTTACAGATTTTAAGGAGAGGGGAAGATGATAAATCTGAGTTGGGAGGCAGTAATAAGAGAGGATGGCAGGCAACACAACATTATCAGGCTGTTTGTGCTGTGTGGAAGTGCTGGAGGGGGGAGGGCTGCCGAGGAGAGCCTTTACCCGCGCGACACCCTCTGATTGATAGTGGAATAAAGGTCGTTCCGTGTGATGAATGAATATTTCGATATAACCCAATCACGGTGCACAGGAAAATGAATGACTGGATGAGAACAAGATGAGCGGGTCCACTGAGGGCACGGAACGCAGGGCCAGCAGAGACACTAAATCACAAAATAACAGAATTGAACTTTAAATGGCCATAAATGGGAGAGTATGTGGAGAGACGGGGTTGAAAACGTTACCTGGATACTCTCAGCTTTTCTGTCAATACTAAACCCATGAAGAAAGAGAAAGAGGCGGGGGAGACGCGAGGGACGGAGACAAGAGTCTTT